TATTGTATTAAATATCCGTGGGTCGAGGACGCGACTCGATAAATTCGTTCGTTAAAAGCCGTCGTTGCAAGCCGGTCTATCGCCACGGGCCTGAGAATTTTCGGACGGACGCGTCGGGGGAAAAGAAAATAGAACCCCGAAGAAATCGTGGAGCACACGAACCATCGTTTTTCGCCAGCTGTTGCCGGCGCGATCGAACTTATCAATTACGCAGTCGAATTCACGAACGGCAGCTGTTGAAAATTAATTCGCCGCCGTGATCGATGGACCGCGTTGAAAATTCTCGATCGAGAGGCGCCGCGCGAACAAGTACCATTAAACATACCAATTAGAGGGTCATTGTTCATACGTCAAATATAGAATTTGTCTGGGAGAATGTCAGAAATCGATGTTAATTTGCGACGTAAAAATCTATCATGTTTCCAGACGGTTTTGTCGATTATGAATCGATTAAATTCTTATTAAAACCATTGGTAGCTAAATGATAAAGTAGATTTTGATTCGATTAGTGCAGAGTGTCCACGAAGTTCTTGGAATAATCTCGGGTAAATTCGAGAGATGCACAATTAATGAAAAGATAACGTTCACATTTATGAAGATTGGGATAGATCGTTTCTATTATCAGCGTAGTTGACTATCGCGAAATAATGGAAACGTGATTGTTAGATCAGTAATTATTGATAACTACAGTGTATATAATATGTTCGTGAAGGCAGTAAATGGTTCCTGATTATTTATACGTGTAATAATAATTCTGATATATATGAACTTTCTCAGTTTTAGAATGTTCATTTCAGAATTTCATATCTTAATATTGGATCAGCGATTTATGTATTTGCCGTTATTCCAACCTCGAGTAACCGGAGATTGGTGAATGACTAACAGAGAAGAAAGTTTCACTGTTACTTTTAAACATAGAACCGGCTGCACGTAAACAGACCTCGTCTATGACAGTATCGCGAATATCCATTGATCCGTGTGTTCTGTAGACACTCGACTTATGTGACCCAAACTTGGCTCTACCGTAGTGTTTCTCAACCACGAAGTGATATAAGCTGTTTGAGTTTAAATTTCCATTGTTACACGCTATTACAAACTCTCTTGAAAGGACCATTATTCAATAAAGCTTACAAGTATACTGCGGATGTTTACGCAAATATAGATTTTTGTTGACTAAATAACAAAGACAAGAATGAAATGAAATTTTTTCTTTGCCTTGTCAAGGTTTCTATAAGATTCAACAGAAGAACCTCGGTAAATATTATCAAAATTATAACGGTACTGTGTTCCAGACAATCGTCTGCGCGATAAATGCATAAAATCCGTGGTCTACTTAGAAGTCAATTAACAGCTACAAGTATACACAGTGACTCACACATTTGTCCATGAAAATCAATTTTCCTAGACCTCGTCTATACTTTGCCAGTGCTCCACTTCCAAACCAGAGAAGTGAACATACACCTGGCAAATCATTCTCTACAATTGATCATGCAAGCAAAACAATATTCCAATCTGAAGAAACAAAAAATACCACTCCAAAGTACACTTAAGTTTCTGTCCCATTATCGCACCGAAAATCCAGCTCACCCCTGATTGTTAAAAATAACACGAACCTACCGTCCATGATGTCCATGATGTATATGTGTGTATCCTCGGGTTGTAGGAGGCTCGTATTCCTATATCTGTCGCAATCCCCCCGTGGTATCCTCGCGTCGGTGGTGGTTCAGGTGCGATCGAACACCAGGGGGTTCCGCGTGCATCGCGTGTGTCACCGGGGCCTTGGTCCCACGGTTGTCCCCTCCTCGCTCAGCAGCAACGGGCCAGCATTTTCGGCCTTATTCCCGTCGGCGGGGGTGGTGGGGGGCCCCCGTACACGCGGGACCGTGGAGGCACGCGCAGCTGCGCCGTCGTTGATGGGAAAACGTTACCCGACCACCGCGCAGAAAAGCAGCCGGGACGCGCAACGGAGCGCCGAGTAACACTGTCTCTGGTACACGATCGTGAGTTCTTCGGCCCCGTTCGTTCACGAGAGGCTACGTAATCGCTTTCGTGTACCGGCGATCCGCTCGGAACCGCCGCAAGCTGATTGGCCGAAACCGTTTTCTTATCAGCCGACGATTCCGTCCGCGGGAATCAATCCTCGTTGTCGCGAACCGACGACCCCGGTTATCGGCACGATCTACCGATCTCCGGCGGAACTCTGGAAACAGTACGTTCATATCGATTTGAATGATTTTCAAATGGGAATCGACGATTTCTGGAACTGAATTTGTTCAGTATGGAGTGTATACGTTGCCTGTGAAAGATAAGGGACAGTTAGAATTCAATTATCGGCACGATTTACTGATTTTCGGCGGAGCTCTTGAGGACTAGGTAGTTCCATATCGATTTGACTGATTTCCAAATGGGAATCGGTGATTTGTGGGATAGATATGGTCGAGGTTGGATGTATATACGTTGCCTGTAAAAGATTAGAAACTATCAGAATTCATTTGTAGACACGATATACCGATCTGTGGCGGAGCTATGGAACACTACGTTCATATCGATTTGACCGATTTTCCAACGGGAATCGGCGATTTCTAGAACGGAGACAGTTCAGCATGGAGTATTCATAAGTGGCTGTATGTAACGAACAGGCCCGGTTTCCTGAGTTGAGGAAGTGAATCGATTCTGTAATTGATCAATTTCGATTTCTGTAATAGATCGATGTGGCGTGGTATCTTGAGGATGGATAATTGGCTGTATGGTTAATAATTAATGACGGGATCAGTGACTGAGTCTACTGGCGATACAGTCGGGAGTCATCTAGATAGATGCGGATGATTGAACAGCGAAACTAGTGCGTTGATAGGATTCTATGATAAAGCTGAATTGCAAGAGGGTTTCCCTAGTTGAAAATTTAAGCTTACATTTCTGAATACTTTCCGATCGATTTCTATCGATTAGGGTGAACGTCTGGGTGTCCCATGGAATGAGGTAAAATTGGTTCGAATCCCGAAATTTTCTGGAAAAGTCTGACACACTGATGTCTGGGGACTGGCTTATCTGAAATCGTTATTATACGGTGTGGAATGAGTTATACGAGAACTGTTTCAGTGTAAGCAGAAACTAATGACTTTTCAGGTGAATAAATGAAACTGAAATACAGGGTGATACTGAATTAGGGTTACAAAATCAACAGCCACAACTTTTCTTAGAGAAAAAGTTCCAATAAGCACGAGTTCAAAATTCATTTGTTTCCAAAACATAGATACTTACAGGTAGAACATCGTTTCACGGCTGAACATCCGATATGGCCGCCATTGTAGTATTTTTTTAATTGTCTTTTGAAAATAGAATTTTCTGCACTGTTTATTACCTTCGTATAGTTGTAGGTTTCACTGTTGCGTCTTTATTAAAGGAGAAAGTATTGCGGTAGTCTCGTTGCTTCCAATCGCCGCCCACTGCGTTCCGTCAGTCCTCTTCTCGCGATCTTTCCTGTTTTCACTTCAGGTTGACCGTGCTCTTAATTGCTTTATTTGCATTCCACCTTGTACACCTATGGCACGATTTGCCAAGTCCGCGAATCGGACGCTTGATGAATGTCTACGTTCATCGACGAGTTCCTTTCTCTTTTAGGCACGTTTTCGATTCACGGTCGAAGGAAATCGGCGCGATGATGCGTCCAAGTGTCTGTTTGCTACTACGGATTATCTGGCTGTTGTACAGATTTTCTATTATTAGTGATAAACAGCGCTGATTGTGAACTGTGGTAGAATGAAAGGAATCCTAGGATCAGGGACATCTAGCACGTGTGAAGATGATTCATCTTTTGATGCACTACGCTCTTTTACGAGTGATCATAAAAATTCGAATTAGGTAGTAATTTTACCTGCTATTCTTGTCGTTCGCTGATCATGGTAGTGTACGTGTAACGCAATTAAAAGAATCCATAAAAACCGTTTGAAATTAGTCAGGGCATGTATGTCAACTAGGACGTGTTTATCTAATCTCTGTCACATATTTGTAGAATGATCGTTCATTCCTGAGATCGAGAAAATCCAATTGTTTGTTTATCACAGGCTGTGTATAATTAATCAACGTATGCGTCAGTGTCTGACAGGTGTCAAAGTATTTCCAAGCATGTTGGGTGCCTTAATCTAAGCGTTTGACAAGTGTCCAAGTATTTCAAAGTATGTTTTGTGTACCTGAGTGTAGATATTTGAATAATTTTGTAAAGATCGTGGACAATTTATTGGAATCCTAGGATCGAGGAATCGTTTGGAGCCGTAGTGATACAGAAATCTATTCCGTAAGTGCATTTCGAAGGTATCGTGCCGACTCTTCATTTATTCTCTACGAGACAATGGATACACAGTGTATACTTTAAAGCAGTCAACAAGATAAAAGAAAAAATAAAACGCCTGCGGACGTTTGATAATAGTTTGCGAGAGTTAAGGAGTGGTTATAAATGGACGTAAATTCCTTTATTAGACGCGCGAGTAACTTAAATAATTAATTAATAATAATAATAATTAAATATATATTAGAATTTCATCTCTCTCTCTTTCTCTCTCTCTTCCATTAAGAAGTCAATATCTCCCTGACGCATCCGTTTTTTATCCTTGCGTCCAATCCGAGTGAAACCAATCGAACAATTTCCACCGCAGCTCCTCGACAATAACATATATTATAACATTTTTCATAGAACAATACGAAACAGAAGCATCATCCTTTCTTATTTCTTTTCATCCAAAGCAAATGAGAAAACGTACGAATCGTCTCTATTTACAAGTGGTTCATGTATCTCAGTCACCGAACTGAACGGAAACGATCAAACTACAGACTGGACTAGGCTGAATTGAATGATCAAACGACAAAAGAAACGGTCTCGTACGATGCCGACAGAGGTTCTCATATAAACCAAATAATGTCTTCTATTAACCCTGACCAGGCTGACCATCGAAAAATGTCAGTCAGCCACACGCGTTTCCTTCCGCGAGAGAAAACGTCTTCCGACTGATCAGAAATCTTTCTTCTTATCCTTGTCCACGAGACCGTTGTCGTGATAGCTAATCTCCTGGCCGGCGACCGCCGGGTGAAGATAATGCGGCTCCACGTCGATCTTCTCTTTCACATCGGAGTCCAGAACCATCGAATGATGGGGTCCTCGATGTAGCACCGTCGTCGTTGGATGATGCTGTTGTTGCTGTTGTTGTTGCTGCTGTTGCTTCCCATTAGGCTGATGTTGATGCTGATGTTGGTGCTGATGCGATTGCTGTCTCTCCTCTTCCTGGCTGTACTTCTTCAACAGGTCCCTCAGATTGTCCAGGTTGATGTCTTCTTCGAACTTGGAGAACAGCTCCTTGGCACCCGATTCCGTGAGCTGCTCGGTGTCCTTTAGCTTCTGGTAGAGCTGCATGAACCTTTCGTTCGCCTGTACTCCATCCCTGGTAGTGTTCTTCGAGGCGTTCAAATTGGGATTCAACAATAGATCTGGCGTTTCGTGGACGATATTCACGTTCTTGTCCAGGTTCTCCTTTGTCAGGGATTGAAGCAGGGTGTTGTAGTCCGGTTTGATCCTGGATGTTTCCATGCAGGAGCTGCATGAACAGTTGGTGATTATTTGGACCTTCTTCTGCACGGTGATCGGATTGTTCTCTTCGTCCTTGCAGTCCAGCGTCACCTGGAACGTTTGAGTAATCAATGAGCAAAGGAACGTTGAACACTTTGCTCGTTTTTCTTCATCAACTCGTGGGATCTAAATAGTGAATCATCACGATATACGGATTTAGACACCACCGCATCAATTTACCGTGTGCCAGACGCTGTCGAGGGGTTGACAGGAGTCGCAGTACGGTCTGATCAGGTCACCAGGCGCGGACGGTTCGCTGTGCGGCACCATATACGAGAAACAAGCCCCGACGCAAACGTTGTTGTCCAATTCCTGCGAGGAACACTGGGGCCAGGCGACCACCTGCTTGATGGGGGTTGTCTTGCACCAGCTGTGCTTGTCCGGGTACAGTACGATGTTGTGGACCTTGAAGAACGAAATCACGGGCAACGTCATTCCAGGAGGAAAACCGAACAGCTAGGGAAAGTGTGACAGTGTCGAGGTAAAGATCGATTAACCTTGTGCTCTCGGTGCGCAAGAAGAAGGGTCGACTGGACTAGCAGCAGGATCGCCACCGTCAGATGACACGTCGATCCCATGATCCCCCTGAAACAATACAAGGAGACGGAGAGAGAGAGAGGGTATCCAAATCTTTCCAACTGATCGACGATCGCTATGAAATAGTCTCAGGTAAGAAAAGCCAATGCCGTCTAACCGCGGGACCAAAAACTTTCTCTTCAGTTCAGGTGTACAGGGGGTGTTGCAGGGGGAGGGGGGACAAGTGGAGTACGTTGGAAGAATTTCGCGATTGCGATTCGAGGCGCGGCGTGTACGGTGTGCACGTGTGCAACGCGTACTCGCCAGTCCCCACCCTGCATGAATGAAAGTCGTGGGTAGCGATGGGTCCAAGTTACATTATAAGACATCGTGAAATCTTTATGATACATCTACTGTTCCTGATATAGAATATGCAGGAATTTTTAACGTCACGTTAACACCTGTATGAAAAATTGTATTTATAGTTGTCAAATGTAAGTAATTCGATATTGACATGAGCGTAGCCAGGGGGCAGGGTCACTTGCTTCTTGCTCCTCCCTAGAGGGAGAAAAATGGCATTTGCCCTATCCTAGGGGGAAAAAATGGATCCAGCCCTTCAAAGGAGAACAATATTATATTAACTGATATTTTGTATGTAAAATTAAATCTAAGATTCATTTAAAATAGTATTACGGAATTTGCTTTGAGATCAATTTTGCCCCAACCCCTGACTTACCCATTTGTTCACCATAATTTTAGCTGATCCCGCATTACATGCTCCAAAATCAAACAATTATTTCCCCGTAAAAATAGTTACAAATTACAAGGTTCCATCCGTGATAACGAATCGTCGGGAAATATGTAATTTTCAGAAAATATCATAGTCAAATGGTATCTACTCGAACACCAAACCTTCAGTAAATCCCAGAAGTGAACGAATCATTTCCTTCTCATGGTATTCGTGAAATCGGACGGGACTAGGTTCGGCAATGAACTCGATTGATATTCATAAGTACATATTGGAGTTGGTCCCATCGCTAGCGTTGGGTCTCGAGGTGTGCGCCTCGAGGTCTCCGGTTCGACGACCGTCTGAAATTACGTCACCGAGATTTGTCGTGGTGCCGCTCTTCTCTCGGGGCACCTCTTTTCTTTCCTTTCTTTTTTCTCTCTCTCGCGTTTCGTCGCGTGAATTTTGTTTAAGGCGAGCCCGCCGTATGTATAAAGGGGCTCGTAAACGCGACGGGGCCCGAACGGTCTTGTGTCCTCGAGCTAACACGGGGTTAATAGAGCGAGACAGAGGGATGGGAAGGGGGGGGGGTTAGGCCCAGAGTATCGGCGACGACGCGACCGGTGGTGGACTTCATTCATAAATCGTCAGCCCGATTCCCCGATTCCTCGACGAGAAACCGGGATGCTCGAGTTTTAAAGTCGTCCCAAGATTTCGAGATAACGGAATTCCCGCGTGGCCCTCTCTCGGGATCACAGGAGAGAGGAGAGACTTTCACGGTGGATGTCCCCACGGTCATAAATAGCGGCGGATTTAGGGTACGAGGCTTGAATACGGGATGCACTCCTCTTCCGGCGGTATATACGAAGCTACTTCGGGGTCGGAGTGTAAAGAACCTGAGGATTTTTCACATCGTGGATAGAACGAAAGTTGTGTTCTTGCTGGTTTCGGGAACACGATCGTCACGAATCGGGAATAATTCATGACGGGAATGTATTATTACGTGGATTCATCCGGTTGGCAATTTAAATTTGGAATTGTTCAGGGCATATGTAATTGTTGGGATTAATATTCAGGAGGAGTTGTCTGTAGAGAAATGTTGGAAAATTATTAAATGAAAGGAGGAATCCAGTGCAGGAAGGAACTATACCAAGATATATTGAGAAATTAGATTTTTGTTAATTCTGGCACATCTTGGTGTCTAGCTAGAAAAGGTGGTTCAAATACAGGCTAGGGTCTGAATATGGACTAGTTGAAAGTACAGGGTCATATTAGGTGCTTCACCCCTAGCAAGAATAGTGTAACTACAACTTAAGAAAAAAAAACAAACATGTTTTAGATACATTGAAGTGTTACATCTTAAAAATCCTCAACAGGTATGGCAATAAGTCCTGAAGTAAAACTGCTAGCCTATATTTAGACTACCTCTACTGTTGTAGTATAGTTCCCTCTTGCACTGGCCTCCTCAAATAATACTGGTTGTACGATTACATTAAATAAAATTTGTGTTTTCTTCACAAATTAATGAAAAGATTTATAGATTTAAAAAAAGATTCATCGACCCCCTCAACTATTTACATATCCATGGACGGAGTGCATAATATCTTCTCAATTAGCGTGTCCAAGTGGAACATGTTCGTTTACGTTGACGATGCAATCGGTAATGAAGCAATAATACCGCAACAGCGAGGGAAAAGGACCGAAGGGAGGTTAGTATACATATACAGGACCGGTCGGATCGATGGCGACGGAAAAAAGCGTCAATCTCATCGTACGATCTTTCTTGATCCTTCGGAGATCACCGCTGAACAAGTGGCACGAAACGACAAGGTAAAAGGATGTGCAGGTCCAATTACGAGAGCTCCGGGCCCTTTTTTCGGGGGGGTGGGGTGGGCCTAAAAATCCTCCGGATCCGTTTAACTGCGGAGCATCGGGAACCCTCCGTGCATCCTTCCTTTCAGTCCTTTAGGAATTCACTTTGTCGTTTGGACTCGCGAGTTGAATTCCTGACAACAGAAGGAATCTCGTCCCTCCCCGGACAATTGGTCCCCGGTATTTCCAGGAGAGGATCAACTTTTCGTTCCCCTCCGATGCATTTCAATTCCGATCTCCCTGGGCCCTTTTCTTCTTCTTCTTCTTCGTCGTCGTCGTCCACGTCGTCGTCGTATCCTCTCCTTCATCCGCCACTTCATTCGTGGAACCTTTTTCTTCGATGGCCGGTGGCTTTCGTTCGACTTTATTCTCACGCGGTCGAGCCCTCCCTTCTTCGTTTCTTATTCCGACTGTTCCAAGAAGCACGGAAGCCGTCGTTCCCCGCGAGAAGAAATCCGATCACAAATCGAAAAATGATATCGGGGCGGATCTGTTTTTTTTTTTTTTTTTTTTGCGAAATTGCTCCAGTGATACCGATGATAACTCGGAGGACGATAGCGGGGAAGCGCGTGGCGAGAGACTCGTTGTGAAACAAAGGCACGCTCGCGCGTAGATAAGGGACAGACGCGTGCTTTGCAGCTCGATCGAATTACGCGGAACTCAGGGAAAAATGGTGGGACGATTCATTAATGGTTTGAGTCAGCTACTTCTCTAGAGGTGTAAAACTATCCTTCCACACGTGGTGTTTCTAGTCTTATCCAAATTATAAGTATTCAAAGTTGGAGAACGATAACGATATTTATAGAATGATCCTGGGTAACGAAGAAGGATCAACGATATTTTAATTTCAGTTTTGGAGAGGACTAATATGTACGAAAAAAACATTGACGTTTCACTAATAGCTTCTTACAACCACACGGCAAATTAGCGTAAACACAGGATAGTCTGAAAATTAGTGCTCTCGGCCGATTCTTGTTGAATCACCCTGTACGTGCCAGCTAGGGGGGGAAGGGGTGTGCGTGACTACACCGGCCCCGACCGCCCATCTCATTTCCACGAGCGGAGATTTGAATGACCGAGTAGGACACTACAGGGACGTACTTAATCCGGATGAGTCTCACGACTTACAATAAGTACCACTTCATCCTTGCTATCTAAACCGACGATCCCCTGGCTTCATCACCCTCTGAACGAGCAGAGAAAGGATTAATAAAATGTCAAGCTGAAATTTCCGGTAAACCGATTATCAATTCTTCATTTTATTTAGAAACATCCTCCACCTGTCTATATAAACGTAAATTTGGTACTATTGATACTATTATACACAGTGACCCCCTAAAAATAATTTCTGTTGTTCTACCAAAGAGGTTATATGTACGGACCACAGTGGCGGGAAGATATTCTCATTTAAATTCGTAATATCTGTTTAACAGTTTCGCACGGCGCGATCAGAATATTATCGAAAACACCTTCAATTTCTCTGAACGATGGATCAGGTGAGGCATAGTGGAACCGTTTAACGTTGTACCGAATGGATACGGCCCTGGTGGGGTCGCAGCCAGAAGTCCAAAGCTCTTTGTTGCTGCGCCACCTTCTCTTCTCGCCTCTGGGTCCGTGTCGGTGGCGTGGAGGACCTCCGGTCCACCTCCTTCTCTTACCTTCTTCCTCTCTCAGTCCCTTTCCTTCGATTTGCTCGTGTCGTCCGTGAACGAGAGACGAAGACAGAGATGCTGCTCGACGGGGCCGAGGTAGCGGGCGCGAGAGAGACAGAGGGAAAGACAGAAAGCGTTCAAAGAGCGAGATGGTAAAGGGTCCTGCGCCCAGCCGCGAGATTAATTTGATTTTCAACCAAATTTGACGCGCCCCCGAGCCTAGGCGGGCCGGCACAAAGGGCGCCGGCGATCTGTGTGCACGCCACGGAACGGAATCCGTTCGTTTGGTCGCCGCTGCCCAACCCCCACGGGACCATTTAAAAAAGGCGCGGAATTAAAATCCGTCCACCCCGGGACCAAAGAGAGGAGAGCTTAACACCTCGCCGTGAGGGTCCCCGCGGACGTGACGCGTCGACGTCGTGGCGGTTCCAGGAAGCCAGCTAATAGGAATTCATATTTCACCACGGGACTTTTACCTATGGCGAGAAAGAGAGAGAATTATGTATGGCGAAACTGGACGACAGGGGTGGGAGGAAGAACGTGCAGAGAGTCTAAAGGAACCGTACCTTCCAGTGATTTAGGGACCATTCTGACTGGCTGGTGCCAGCCTCTTTTGACTACGATCAATTAGGCTGGAAAATGATTTAACGATCCTGATTTGGAAAAGATTATATTGGAGGAGACTGTTCCGATGATTAAAGAAGACCAGGGTTGAATGATAATGAAGAAGGATAAAGGTAGGAAGAATATATGAAAGTTCAAGGTATGTTTGAACCGGAGTTCATACGGCCCTGACGCGCTCGGGTGCATGAGATACGTTCATGATCTCTTTCGCCGGTGTACTTAGACGCCGAGGGAAAGGGAAGAAAAGGAACACCGAGGAGGTAGAAACCGAGAGGAAGAAGAAGAAACGGCTAGATGGTTCGAGGTTCTCGACCAATGGTAGCGTCGGTGAATAGGTACTGGTTCGAGCACGTGGTACCCGCAGCTGTGTACTAGTTTCTCCTCGCTCGATCACCTTCGCCGTGCTTTATCTACGCGTAACCATATCTGGCTAGAATCGTCTGTGGTGCACAGCACGATCGTTGTTCCTTTTTGAAATTCCATTCGAGACGTGGGTAAGAACGGTGTGGTACACGAAGAGAACTCGATGATTATTTCTTATGTTCCAAGAGAAAAATTCGGTATGTTACTGCAGGAATAAAACAGATCATTCGTATGACATTACTTTTGAAAAATTTAACAGCAAGTACCATTGATATAATCGGGTCGGTACGTATGTACATATAAACGAGAGAACCTGATGTCTTCGAGTATCCGCGCGCCTGGCAAAATCGTTTTATACCGTGAAATTCTCCGTCACGCATCCCGACGCTGACGAAGGTCATGACGAGGAGTAGGAGGGCCCAAAGGATGACCGATCGCCATTCTAGATTAGAGGGATCATTTTCGCGAGCGCAATACATTCTCCCCTATTTTAATGAGAAATCCCCTATCTCTCGATTTGGTCTAGCCCAATTTCGTATTTTGCGACCGTCCTTTGCTCCTCTTTTCTTCCCTTTTTATTTTGTTCCTGGCAATACGGTGCCGTGGCCGAACTAATAGGGGGCCCGGGCAGGGTGAGGGTCCAGGAAGGGGAGCAAAATAAAAGAGAGAGGAATCGCCTAAAGGGGATAGGGTGCGCAGAACGCGCCCAGAAGCAAGACAGGGGAACGGACGGATGGGGCCCCGCGGGCGAGATGAAGCGAAATGAAAGATCGAGAGGGTCCAAGAAAAGAAGAAGAAGAAGAAGAAGACGAAGAGAAAGATAGAGAGAAAAAAAAGGAGTTTGCCAACAGCACCGGAGGATGCCCCGAAAACACGCTGGACGTGTGGCGCCATCTCGGCTCCTTTTTTTTCTTCCTCCTTCACCGCCACTCTCCGCACACCCCCCGTACTTGTTCCTCGTGCTTTTGTTACTTCGCCCATACTAATTCTTCGCGAGCTGCACGGCGTGCCCGGAGTGCGTGGGGAGAAATCAGCCGGCGTGGAGGGGGGCACGGGCCCCGGAGGAGCTGGAAGGGGCCCTTGTGCATCGGGCAGTGTCGGATTAAGCTGCTTTCGCACCCTCTCTTCGTTCCACGATTAGATCGCGATTTTAAGCCCGCCGAAATTTCGACACCGGCCCCGCGTGACCGAGTGGTTCGACGTTTTCGGACCCTCGATCATCCGCGACTGCACAACTGGTGTAATCGAGACACCAGGGGTCCGTGAAATTGAATCGGTGATTAAGATTGTTTCTTTTGCGAAATCGTCATACCTTTCAATATTTCGATTCTTAGGCAACATATGTTCTTAATTTTTTATTGAGAAACGTTACCATATTTCGTCCCGATCTATCGGAATATAAAGTCAACACATTCGCGTATAAATAATGTTTGCTCTGCTACCAAGAAATCGAGAAATACGAAATGTTTAAGTCTTTGATAACGGTCGTGTGAAGGAATATGTGTGTTCAAAAATTCGATGCAACGAGAATGTTACAAATCAGAAAATCCGCCGTGGTTCGGGACGGTCTCAAATTTTTTTTCAATCGAATACCCCCCGAATCAAAATTAAACATACCGGCGAGGCTGGAGGGGGCAAAAAGGAGTAGGGAGCTGGTGTGTACACTGCTTTAAGAATTCTCTCCCGGTGTGGTTGCCCCGCCAACAGCCGCGGACCACATACCTGCAAACGAACGTTCTTAAAAGGGAGGGCAGAGCCCAAGAACAGGTCGTTAAAATGTAATGACATTGTTGTTTTTAATGCTCGCCTCTTTAAAACGGGCCCTTTCGTCTTCCTCGAGCCTGGCCGCTACTTCAGACGCTACTAGCTTTCTCATTCTCTCTTCCCTATATCTTCCCTGTCCTCTAACGAGAGAAGAGGAAAAAAAAGGAAGAAAGAAAGGAAGGCAACCGCGAGCTCTACCCCCCTCCGTCTTCTTTGATCCGATTTTCTCGTCCTTCCCCTTTTGAAAAGCGAATCCCCTCCTCTCGAAGATCCGTGACAGAAAGAAATCGATCGAGAAGCAAAAACGAATCGAATAGAGGGGAACCACTCACGGGGGCCCTTTATCTCGACCGATTTCACAACCTATACGGTCGCTAGGTGTCTTTCTCACCGGACGGAAGAGTCGGGCAATTTGTACTTGGTTCTTTTAATGATCTTTTCTAGCAAACGATAACCCCGTTACCTGAACGAGCCGCCGCGAACGCTATACACACAACGGCCGCGAGATGACACAGCTACTTCGGGACCGGTGTTGACCTCACGGATATCGGTATCAAGTGTCATGGACCCCCTTTGGAACGCCTCAATTTTTCATAGTTCGTTACAGGCCACACACCGGTCGAGGAATGTTCCCAGAAGGGAGGGGAAGAACGGTCCAAGCGACGACGTTGATGTTAAACACGAACTGAGGTCGCCGCCGTTCGGACAACGTGTCAAATTTGCTTGTTTGTTCTTTTTTTTAAATGTTACTTTTTCAATGGTGCGCAGAGAGAGACAGAAGGGAGCAGAGAGAGAGAGAGAGAGAGAGAGGTAACCAAACGACTTAATGAAAGGTTGAAGACACCAATTAAACCTCGGTGGTATTATTGTCCATTTTCTGCGGTCCAATTACACGGGAGGCGCGAACATGGTCGCATTAGCGGGGAGTTGGTTCCAAGTCTCGGTTCGGTAACGCGGACTACCTGCAGCATTAAAAAGCAAGCGCACCGTAAGATGCAATTAAGTGGCGGACCCCGTTCTCTTTCGGTGGGGAGAAATGAGACCGGTTAATGATATTACGGGATGTTTACAGGATGAAGTAACCTGTTCAACAATGGTTACTCGGAGTTTCAGTATGCCCAGGGAGTATTCCTTCGCAAAACCATCGTGATTAGTCAGTTAAATATATAAATCCTCCGTTGGGAAAAAAAGAAGAAGCGTCTTGGTGTGTCGGATCTCGCGTGATTCCCCTCCGAGACGGGATGGATATGCATATTTTCGTCGGATATTTCTCGGATTAGCCAATTAACCGCGCGCACAGTGGCCACAAGTCGGACCCAGTCGCGAAAGGTCTTCATTAGAAAGGAACCCGATGGCGAGTCGGCTACCGCGCAACGGTTTCACCATGGAGGTTAACTGTTAAGAGTCTAAGAAGAGCTATCATTAACTCGAAGAATAGGGTCTGGGTATATTAGGATTGGTGGGGCAAAACGTTTTGGATAGGGTGCTTCTGAACTATTTAGCCGCGTAGTCCCTGTCCCCTTGGCCCCCACCGGTCGTCTGTCCGCCACTTTCTAAGAGGCCCTGTGATCATCGTCGCGACTCGGCTCAGCTGGTGTAAACTTTCGTTCGCTTTGAGGTGGACCACCGGGGAAAATGACCCCCCTTCGGGTGTTCGAACAATGAACTTGGAAACCAAACAATGTCTCTGTACTCACTAGTCTTGCGACCATCATCACTTTCCTACAGACCAGAAATCGCTTCCTGATGGATCATGGATGCAAACTCTATCGGTCAAAAAGTAGCTACATCATCCAGGGGCAAACCTATCATCGTCGAAGGCACTGTCAAAGTCCATGGGTCCAGAATAATTACTATCGTCTCGTATCTACGGTTACGTGGTGTATCCTCGGTAGAAAATCCACGCGAGAATGTCGATGATTCGTGATCGAATCTCGGGCAATGTGGAAGGCTTGTTACTGTACACGTATGTATCACGGTCTGGCAACTCTGGCGGCAGATCTCGAGCCGCCGATCCAGCGTACGGCGGCAGCCTTGGCTTTTCTGAAGAAACTGTCACTCACCTCCGTGTACGTCAGCGACGTCGCGAACTACGCACCACTCTAGAATATGCCGTGGAACGAAAACAAGTAAAACAAGTACGATTGGACGAACGTAACGCGATTTCTTCGCCGACGACGTTGTGTGTATCGTCTCGCTCGGCCGCGGACTTCACTCCGGTGCCCAGCCTTCCGGATGGATCTCTTCCGCTGTCCCGGCAGCGGAGACTACCTCGGGGGAAGGGGATCCAGGGCGACGGCGGGGGGGATCGATCTGCGCGCGACAAATATGACGAACGGTTTTGCCTCGAAAACACGGGGATCCGATATGAGGCTGAGCCGAACCGAGCTGAGCTGAACACGAAACTGTGCTGCCGATCTCTCGTGTTCCGTTCTCCTCCTCCTCCTCCTCCTCTTGCTCCACCTCCACCACCACCACACCGGAGTCTCCTTCAGCTCCTCCTTCTACTCGGTACGTTCGGTTCCGCACCGTTCCCGTTCCGTTCTCTCTCTTTCTCCGTCTCCCAGTTTCTCCAGGTATCCTCGTGGAAACAGAAAGAGAAAGGATCACTCACCGAACAAGCAACGATGATGGGGAAGGGGGTGAGGGGGAGGGAGATCAACGGTAAGCAAGAGAGATCTTTGACTACCTCTACAACGACGACGACGACGACGTCGCGTGTACTGTAAAAAGCAAGATCGCCCGAGGCCTTACACCTCGAACCAGTAAAACTTGTCGTACGTTACTGCTGAAGTGCGCTGGTCGCGAGCTCTCTGCCTCCTCTCTGGCCAGTTTTCGCCGCCGCCGTAACCGTCACCTCGATACCACGATGATAGAAAGGATTTCGGGGGGCATACCCGGAGGAGGAAATCTGGCCCAGTTATCGGCAATCCACAAGGAATCGTTATCGTCGACTACAAATGCCCTGTGGAAGCTGGAAGAGGAGAATATTACCGACTGCTGTTACGTTGACAAGCGTTCCAGGATGAAGAATGAAAGTAGAAGCGATAGTTCTGTAGCAAATTTATTTCGATCGTTACTCAATATTCGAGCGACGTTTCAGGAGTACCGTGTCTCTCGTCCAGTCGGCTTTGGTTTCAGCGACAAATACACCCAGAACATCTTTCTCCGTCGAAGGTCGAACAACGTCACCGCCACGTACGTCACGTTTATGGTAATCGCGCACGTAAGCATTAGACACTATAAGGTCCTTTCGGATTTTCCGTTTTAACACACCAAGTCTTCAGATCATTGTCCTAGCGTCGTCGTCAGACTTGATCGACGCTGACATCGAAACGATTTTCCGCAGGATTGGCCTCGTAGTGGGTCAACCCTGGGACAGTTTGCCTGACACCAGCGACAATAGGGCCGAGATCATTGTTCAGGTATTCCCTGAACCGCAGGCACTTCTCCTTGGTGTTGATATCGTTAGAGCTCCCCCAAATGATGAGACCGTCCGCGCCGAGATCCAAGATCTTCCGGAGAGTGGCCTCAAGATCAGCCTGCGAAGATAAATCCATTTTGAGGCACCAGCGCCGAGAACGTTATCAGGTGACGCATCTTCTTTTTTCCTTTCTTTCTATCCTCTTCTCAAAACGAAACGGACTAACCTTATTCAAATAGGTATCCCTGTGATCCTGGTACTTGTACCAGTAATAGGGTAGGACCCTTTTCCTGGGTGTCGTCTCTTTCGCTATTCTGAGAGCCTCTTTCACCCGGCCACCGACGAGGCCGACTCTTTGACTGTTGGCCAGGCTCTGACGCAAGTACACCGATGGCAGTAGCACGTCCTCCAACTCGAACAGCCACGACATTCTGAGGCAGAGGAACAAGGATGCTAACTGCATTGTTGTTTGCTTATCGGGACAGATTAGATAAGTCGGATGAAACTGGAAATAATTTAAATTTTCAACGAGATCCATGACATTGACCGAGTTAAAATTGATCTTGACAAGTGATTCGTAATCTCGTTACGCACGGTTCTCGAGGTACCTCGATGATGGAACCGGAGCATAGCGGTTACTTCGTGGAAGGTGTTATCCACGCGGATGAAAGTGAAACGGTACAATTGATTTTGGTAGATCGATCATCTAAGGGCTATCGATCAGGCTTGCTTCGATGTGGAAAGCCTACATAAATCTATCAACGATATGCCACGAATATTCTAACCCCCCTGGGAAAAGCGATTCGAAATGGGACATTAAACTCTCATGATCGCCATACTTATCGTTCTCCAGCATCGCCGTCTCGTCGCACTGGGAACTCGGCTGGTTCGGTGTCAGATTGTAGCAATAGGGATAAGCGTAGTAACCCCAACTGGCGAATGGTCTGATCTGCTTGGCAGCTTTCAGTGTGTCTTCCATGAAAAGTTTCCCGTACTTCTCGAAGCTCCGTTTCGCCTCCTGCTCCACGCTCCGACTGTTCCAGAACGGATGCTGTTTCCGTACGATCTCTATAGAGAAGTCTTTGTACAGCTGGAGGGAAGCCCAATTCTGACGAAAGATTGGTCGCCAACTCTCGAAATCGATCACCCCCACACCGTGAAACGATTCGTCCGGGATCTGATTGATTAAATGCTCCCGAAAGACCTCGAGATGCTTGGTGAGGTTACCTTCTTGGGGAACACCGCCGTTTCTCGGTACCACGTTCCCTGAAGAATTATTCAAAGCTCTGTGTCTTTCTTTATTGTCTATATAAATCATAGGTAAGATAAACCAATATTTGTTTTACCGTTCGAATCTTTCAGCAACGCCGGGAACATCCCTGGATCGTAGAGAATCGCGATCTTATCGCCACGAAACTCGTCCATCGCGTTCTGAAGAATTCCATACTTCTGGGACACCTCTTCGAACCGTAGCCCGTACTTGTGACACATGAACGTGGGCACGTTCCAGTATACGTAGAACCCCTGTCGTTCCTCGTTTCTCGGGGTGGTGGTGACTGGACGGAAGCTGACAAGGAGAAACACGAGGTGTTAGCCGGCCGAGTCGTGTGAGCGCGGCCAATGACACGAATTAGATAAGATATTTTCAGTTCCTGAACTTGAACGCTTTATGGGTATTTCAGGACCCAGCGGGCAACGGTTGCCAACACGTTCGTCGTTGTCTTCGAGAACTGTGTACAATGTTTTACGATTGATTTACGTTTCCAGACAGAGAAGGAAGAAATAAGAATGAAGAATCTGTTAACTACCCAAATAGGAAGCCATTGACGAAAGGCACAGGGGCCAGCAGGAACAACACCAAAAGTACCATTTTTTTGTCGTCTCGACTAATAGGAACATGAACCGAGAGGGTAGTTTTCACTGACAACTGTCCGACGACGAAGTAACACGAACTGGTCACCCGGCCGGTTTATTATTGATCCCTTCTGGTTGTTAGGACCGGATGATTTCACGTTCACGATCACCCCCGACGCCAGTTCCTCGTTGAATAGACGCCGACGACGATGGGTACAACAGCGGTGCGACTGAATTCCGCTCGATTTCAGGCCACTATTTATTCCACATCGTGTGTCTCGTGTTCCCCACCTACGTGCTCGTCAGCGCTTCGTGCTGTTATCTTGCTCCGGGTATTGTTCGGTGATTTCTCGTTTCCGTTTTTTCTTCCTCATCTTTTTTTTCTCCTATTGCCTCGCGTAAAAGGGCATCACGCGTTAGCGATCAATCTTCCCGAGAGACGATCGGAGTGCATTGGGCCCGCAAACGCGGGTGAAGCAAGTTGGGAAATCGATACAGCTGCCTGGACCAAAGGATCACCTTGATCCGAGGGTCTCCCGTCGAGGATGACTGACAATGGTGTGTATATGTACCTTTTAAAACGGAGGAGCTTCACCTGGCAACGCAGTCACGATCGCCCGTATCTGTGAGCTGACGAAACTTCCTCAAGGATAAAATGCGGTTTCTGCGGTGTGTTTCCAGTTGGATGGATATACACGTTTCCCTGGAGTGTCTGTTCCTGGTACTTCGTCATTTCGATGATTTGTGGAATATCGATACGTTGGACATTTCTGTTGTATTTGAACAGGTTCTATCCATCGATGGATCTTGCGTAATTAGGTATAATTGAGAGCCATGGATAAGTGTTTTGTACACGGATGAGCCATATTTTTATTATTGACTTCTTAATTCAACGTTGTCTGCTGGCTTGCCCAATGCCAGCACCAGGTAATTAGTTATTATCGAAGTAGGAAAAAATCGTATGCGTATTTTCCGAAGGACGTGTTCCGATATCACGAGATAAATGATCTTGCGTAAAGTTCTCGGAAAGTGCATTCTAACTGCCCGCCAATTTTGTAATTGTTCCACGGCCGATCTGCATTTGAGAATGATTAATGTACCGCACGAAACCGAGCGGCAATCTATCGAGCCCCGTCGGTAATGAATTGTACCCTTTTAATCTTAACGACCGAATTGATTAGGTGAAACACTTTTACAAGGGTGCTTTAACAACCTTTCGTGAGCTTCTATTTCACGCTTTAAGATAACAGGCCGATACCGACCAAGGTGACAATAAACTCGACTTTTCGCCGTTAATCATACTTACGCTGGGAATTATAGATAAACACTTTCAGGGGCTTTACGCTCGTCCGTACTGTATCTACGAGAAACCACAAAATCTGGACTTTTCCTCGAAGGGATGAGACTGAAACAGGTATGGTCGTGTACTAAATGTTAATAGAACTTATTGATCGATTAAATCGTTTGTTAAAAGCACTGATCCACATTCAGCCCCTATACTTAGACGAAGTATGGAAATATCTGCTGTTTTAATCGCTACAGGGCCATCGTTTCGCGGCTGTTATCTTGCGGAGGCCTTGCATGTCGCTGGTGCGTGTATTGTGTGTTAAATATTGATCTGCAGCAACGGTTACGAAGACCTCGACTCGCATTAAATGCGTACCATTGGACCTACCGAAGGTATGGTATGCCGTGCGTGATGTTCGTCGAGGGAAATCAGCCGTAAAAATCCAGTCGAGATTGTCTTCCGGAAGAACGTGAACAATCTGAAACATACAATCTTTTGTCGAGCGTACACCTCAAAGAAGAAACGACCGTCACATAATCGTAAATTACTGTTGATACTAAAGTCAGAACAACGGTGCTTCCCTTAATGACAGTCCTTAGAAACAGGTTTATTTCTGTGTCTTTTTGGTCCCATCGCTATCTAATCGGCGCCGGAAGCGGGACCCTTGTTACGCAACGACTTTCGAAAGTACCGGAAAGGAAAGGTGGCGTTAAAACGACTGATCTCAGGAACGGGATGGTTACTCTTTTGGTCGTTGGTGAGGGACGCGTGAAACACAATCAGTCGGAACTTTATTCGGAACGACGGTTACAAAGTGAAAGTAAAACTTATTGGCGAACTTGTGAATCAGGGGTGAACCAGGAGGGTAAACAAACACAGGCTTACTTTCGACCTCGCTTTATTTAAACTCTTCCACTCTCACTTCGGCATACTTTTGCGACCTATTTAATCAAGAAGATGCTGAAGGGATAGCCTGGGAATAATCCAGGGGTTACGTACAATAGCTTCCAGGAGCGTTTATTGAAAACTGTGAATGCCTTTCGCGGCCGATGCACCACCAACAGGAGAGAAAACTTCCCTCAGCTGCGTGGGTTCTGCAAATTACTAATGTACGATATTTATCTACATTGCTCGAGTCACGCACATACGTATATACACGCGCGCTGCGCAAGCATATTCCGATCTCGACCTTGACCTAACGTCATGAGCCCGAGTGATGGCGGAGACAAGGATGAGTTCCGCAGAACCGGCGGATCCAATGGCGAATCCCGGTTTGATTCAAGGAGTTATCGATTTCCCCCTTGTGCGTCGAATTGTACACCGGACACTCCATCGATGGAAACGTCGTGGTTGTACTTGCTCCCGTTTCAGCGTCATTCATCTTCTTTCCTAATTAGTCCCGTATCGTTCGTCCCCATTTTTTTTTTGTTATACCATTTACCCATTTGGTAAGCTTGCACGTGCGAAATTGTGTTTTATTTCGAGACAACGATTCGTTGAACTAGACCTCTACTGGAGCACCAAACCGATCTTCCCGGGTGTCATGCTGGGGCAACGCCAGTTGTACAAGTAATATTGGAGATTCCCGTCACCTATGCCGAACTTCAGGGGTTCTAGGAATTCCTTGTTATCCATGAGGTCCAACGCGTTAAACACGTCGAAGCCGAGCTGAAAAGATCAGGTATACAATGTTTACTTCTGTATAATGGTAAACGAAAGACGTGCTACTTACATTACGCGCCGATATCAAAGCGTCTGTCATGAGATCTAGCCATGGAGTTACAGTGGACACGTTGTAGAAACTGTACGCAGCCCTTAGAGTCTTGTGGATTAAGTGATGCATTACAGAACTTGGCAATGTGTAGTAACTAACCATGTCAGTGATTTTACCATCGTTCTCCACTACAAAACTGTTAATAATCCCGTTTTGCGGGAGGAACCAGTGTCGGAATTCTTCGATTGAAAAGATTGGTGCCAAATCAAACTTTTCCAGATACTGAAAGTAGAGTTACGTCAATTGTATACTTGAGCCTTTCTACTTTCTATTTCTGTTATTACACTCCTGCAATGATTATTACTTCAGTCAATATTTTGTGAGCCTGCGGTATGTCTGCTTCGACCAGTTTCCTAAATCCTGGTACTTTCGTATTTTCTGGCAGTTTGTATAGTTTTAAGGTTCTCTGCATTGTCATGTTACGAGACAAGTGGGAGAACTTGATGTCAATTAGTTTCTTTGGATTAAGAGAACGATGCCAATACCTATAGCAATGATTCGAATGTTAAATAAGTGAAAGTATTGGCACCTGTTACGCGACTTGACTAGTCGATACAGCTACACACCTGCATGTTGCTATTGGTTTTGGCAATACAACACCAGCAGTATACACAGCCTGAAATATACCTTGCAGATTAACTCTCCTAGTTATTTCACGTATTAAGACTGGCGCGACCCTTTTCGATCTCAACTTCTTATGCACGCACAGGAAGTTAATTTCCACCATTTTCTGAGTGCTAAAATATTGCTTGTGTTAGACCACGGGGAATACATTATTACAAAATATCCAAAACCTACTGGTTGTAGACACGTAGATTAGCTGGAATAGCGGAAATAAAACCGACTAGACGTCCGCTTTTAGTGACTCGTACCCCACAGTGCCATTCTTTGCACCATCCAGGGGGTTGCAATGCCCTAAAATATTGTTATATACAGTCTATGGTCCTAAAATCACATTCGAGACTGACGTATTGTTAAGAGACTAATAATTTCCGGCAGCGGATAGGATTCACGATGTCAGTACGTGACCCACGTGCTAAGTCCTCTACTAGATGGGTAAGATATTACATGTCTATTCTCCTGGGTTATCGGTCTCGAATGTGTTAATTCCTATGTTTATCTATCGTCTATTTTATTTACCACTTCAAAAAGTTTGGTGGATAATCAAATCTAAACATAGCATCGTCATCCTCCACGTAATTTTCAGCCAACAAAGTGTATAATTCAGATAAAACTAAAGGATCATCCAGATTTAGAGTGTCCCACTGAAAATCAGCTGGCAATGAATAAGGCTCTGCCCTTATAGATGTTTTATCAGGTTCAATAGGTTCATTTTTTACAATCTTTTCATCTGTGTAGAATTGACAACACAACCATATGAGTATCAAATGATCTTAGTGCTAAAATAAATTATGCCGACTCATTTACCCATTTTTGGTACTGGCTGTGTGCTCCAAAATTGATAAGGCTTTTGCATAGCTTCCTCCTGAGTCTTGGCAGGCTTCTGTTGCATATTGAACACTTCCATAGCCATTTGTATATCTTTTATCGAAATATTACATGTGCTATGCATTTCATGCTCGTCCCTATGACCTGCGTGGTCATGGTTTTCACTAGTGGCATGTACCACCTCATTCTTCTTCTTACGATTTCTCTTTTTTGAACTGCATTGTAAACAATTTATTATTACTACTTTACATAGTAACAATAAAAGAAGTTTAACACATGCACACAGACATGCTGACAGCACAACAAGAAATGATAATGCAAGCGAAGAAGAGTACAGTTTAGGTATTTAAAACAGACAAGGTTTAAAGGCAACAGAAACGAATGATGTTAACAAATACATAACCAAATGTCTCCTAAATTATTTATGAAGGTATTGCAGTTTGAAGTGCATGCACAGTAGGTTACTAAAATGCAGAAACGTGATTTTATACTCCTGACGTATTTTACAATGTTTAGACACAAACACACTAGACCCTTTATTTAATTCAAGTTCATAGAAGCACACAACCATTGACAATTACGAAACGAACACAGAGAAACGATCACGAGTCGTGCCTACAGAACTGCCGGCCGTCCATCACTCCCACAGATAGTGTATCAGAGAAAAAACATTTTCCACTCGTACCGATAGAAAACTGAACAGCAAATGTTCACTGTCTATTGAAGAAATATTCACATACCTTTTTGACTTCCCATCTTTTTCGTGAATCTCATCCTTCTTAGCCTCTCGTTCCACGACTTGACTCTTTTCCTCCATTTTAATATAGATTTTGACAAAGCGCATGCGCCGGACATGGTGGCTCCGTCTGGCAAATTTAAACGGAAAGATGATTGGTCACGTGACCGTGAGCTGATGGCCATTGCTTCGAAAAGGTGTCTCTGCGTCGGTGAGTACAATTTTATAGAATTTTATAGTAATAATCGGTTTATTATGTTATTGATCATGTGGGATGGTTTCTTTATACAACAAAGAACACAAAGCAATTAAAGTTTTCGATGATCAAAGTAATTTGGCAAAGAATTTTTAACAAATGTTCACGGTGGTCCGTTACCGTTAGAACCGTTCGAGAAACGCGCGTAGAGCGTCTTAGGTCATTAATGTTAAAACGTTTTTCAGTCGTAAATTGTAACTGCTGAGCACATAAATTGTTAAATAAATGTTCCTTTATGGGTGTTGTAAAGAAATTATGCATTCTAGGTCGTGGGTGCATGGTTCTTCACGAAAAACTTTTCAGGAAATTTTGTGCTCCACCGAAAGTTTGAAAAGGAGGCGGCAGAAAAATGGCGGAACGTACTTCGTGGGTGATATTGGCGGTCATCGTTTTTAAAAATGTCGTGGCCAAGGGGCATCAAAGTAAGTAAGAATGGATAATATAATTTATTTTTGTTATGAAATTGCATGCTTTATATTTGTCAATGTATTTTGAGGCTAATATAACATACGAAATATCTTTTTCTGTCAAAAGTTATACGAAAATCTCTGTTATTATATAACATTTGTTCATAATTTTAATTCTGAGGTTAGCAACATGATTTTGGTAAGAAATACATAAATAGCGAATGAAAGATATAAAAGCAAACGAAGTTTAATATTTCAATTATAAAGTAGAGCTACTTATCATTAATTATTTGATTATTGATATTTGAAGAAACTTTAGCGCATTTTTATTTTGATGTCGTGGAATGACCAACAACGACAATTTCGACATATTAATGCAGTTAATATCGTAAAAAATTATTATACATAACATAATTATTATCATCAACTTGCATTGGTAAATGATTTGGAGTATAATTTAAATATTGGAAAAGGGTCTTACGTATGCAATTAGACTGCGTATGTTTATGCACTTATAGAACGCTCAACTGTGGAAAATATATCACAATAAAAACTATAATAAAAACATCCATAGAAGAAATAAATTGTATGTAGGTACGCATAGCATATACTAGAATACGAATAACATTGAAGTATCTTGAATAATTACTAACAAATCTTTCACTGTATCTTCAACTTAATAATATTCTTAGAAGATAAAAGCTTTATTTGTCAACCTACATAAACATTCGCAGTCCGGTAATAATCACAGATCTTAAGATCAGAAGAAAATCCATGAAATGGCAGTCTGACAAGTATAGTTTTCTTTATTTCATTACCAACAATGTTCTTACATCATCCTGCCGAAACAATGTATAGTTTCTATATCATAATATATCCATTTCATTCATTTATTCGTTTAAACGTGTATATAATTGTTAGTGATCGTAATAGCAATAAATAGTCTGTAGTAGGCGAGTCCGTAGGTATGTAAACAGCTTTTAGGTACGCGTAATTCCAGTTTATCGATAATTCAAACCAATGTTCGCGCGTCGTGCTCGCCTGATTCGCGATTTGCATATCTGTTTGCGAAACTTCCGCAATAGGAGCGAACTCGTGACTCGGCTGCGCGCGAACTCTTTTTCCCCGTCTCGTGAGACTCGTTACCGACAATAACCGAACGTCCTCGTTTCTGCTCGAACGATAAGATACGAGCGGAAAATTGATCTCGGTGAAACGTTGCTTTTCGGCGCGCGGCTGTTCTCCTTTTGAAGTTTCGCGGAGGATCGAGTGCCTCCAAGAGGTGGGGTTGCGAGATGAGCTCTAAGACATAGTTTTAAATAAACCCGCGACCAAGTTGAGCAAGAGTTCGTTCGAACGAGAATTATGGTGCTCGAAAAGCTTCCGATAGTACAGTCGAAAGCATAATTTATTAATAATTTTTTTCCACTGGGAGATAGAAAACGGTGAATGAAAAAGCCTTAGTGTACTTTTATGATTTTTTTAGTTGTTGTTTAGGTACGAAAGTAAGCGGGACTTACATAATCTAGGATACATTTATTTGGAAGTAATTTACATAAAACTTGAGTAGCCAGGTGTTCGTTACCCATTTTCACGGCGTTGAATAACGGATCGGCCATCAAGTTCCGTAGAATTTTCACGTGATTTTAAGCAATACATTAGATATAACAATAATCCAGAGTCCATTGAAACGAAGAAATATTTATTGCGCACGATTACAATAGAACCGAGGGACAAAGGTGCGATATTTCATCGATTCCTCGAAGTCTATAGTGTGTCCGCGGATCTTGTATCTCATAGAAACGAAAAGGATCATCGAATCGATGGTTATTGTATTATGCATGGGAACGGAATGGCGAACGATGGTAGTTACGTTATCCGCCGAATGAATTATTCGCGAATCATACACGGGGAGACTTCGCGGGGTTTTCGCTTAACAAGTGCCTCGAGGATAACGATCGATCGTTTCCCCGGCGAGGTACGCCGGAATTCTGAATGAATCAGCGGAGAACACGAGCCGAAACGTTTTCATTTCTCGCGCGCGTCTCGTTCGTTCGTTTCGTCGAAATGAAACTCCGTCGGAATCGGGTCATCTGAACAGAGAAATGGCACGGATTTATCAGTTGTTTCGATTTGAAAAAGAAACTCGATCGAACGAACGTGGTAAGGTGGGAGAGGGGAGGATGGAACGTTTCTCTGAAAATGATAAATATGGGAAAACCGACGACGTTTCGTTTTATCATTCCGTCTGGACACCGTAGGCTCGATTGGGCGCGGGTCCCATCGGTCGTTTGATCCTCAAAACCCGAGTTAACACCATAGATTCTGGTATTCATAACGAACAAGGCATAGGCAACTACGCTACTACTAGAAGAGAACAATTCCTTTTTTTTCCCCATCACCAGAAAGAAGACATCGGAACGGCCATTTTCGAATCATCGGCCACAACTAGGTACCCCCAGACAGCGCCTCCAGGTCCGCGTCGTTGTCAAATTCCCCCGCCCTAAAAAGTCATCAATTTCTCGCGTCCGTTCGGCCCCCGAGAGTCGAGTTCTCATTAACATGGAGAAAGACGAGAAGAGGTTTCTTAGCTCGGCTACCTTACACGCCGCCAAAATACATCACCGTCGCGTAATAATTACGCTACCCCGCTCCGCCCAGCTATTCGGCCATTTATCACGGAACGCGGATAGAGAGACGGCCCGTAGGAGGTGGAGAAGTTTGCGAGTCGCGAAATTCCACGCAAAAAGGAGATAGAACCACGCGCAGGATCTTTATTCGTGATATATATATGGTTCGGATCACGAGTCTCCGTGGTGGATTCAACAATGGAAACATGGAAAATGTACACAGGCGATTAAAGGTGGAAACAAGAGTACGGGAGTAGGATAAACGTTGATCAGTCGGTCGGATCCTCAAGAGAGGCCACGAACAGACGAAAGTTTCACGGACCGGCGAATCCGGGCTCTAACCCATCCCGTGGGGAGGGACACATATTCAGACTCTCTCTCTCTCTCTCTCTCTCTCTCTCTCTCTCTCTCTCTCTCTGGAGAACGAAATCCCGGATGCTGCTGTCTGGCGTCTTCTGTGCTGCCGGGTGCTTCCGCGTTGCTGCTTCCTCAGCAATGATATGCATAGAACAGTGAGGCAAGGATCCACAGGGCGCCGGTCCCGTACGATCGGGAGCTGCCCTCGACCCCGTTTCTACCTGGTCGTTTGCGCTTCGACTTCGACTTGGCGCGACGTTTACGCGAGAATATCGCGTTCGTCGCGTTCGTCGGCGACTCGATGTTGCAGTAGCTCAGGTCGCAGCAGCTGATGCAGATCTGGAACGAAATAACCGAATTTATTTCACCCGATCGTAATGCCTCGGTCTCTTTCTGCTGTCCTATTTCTTTTTGTTAAATGGTGTACTTCGAGAATCAGAAATAGAGAAATGGAGGAATGCCAGGTGTCTGGAAAAAATTCGCTATTTCGCACCTGCTGCGTGTCCACCGGGATGCAACCGACCGAGGCTGGACCGCATTCATCGTTGCTCGCGCAGCTCTTGCTCACCTGAAAACGGAAACGCCGTGTTGTCGTCGACGGTTTGCACGTGGGGGAGGGCGGTCTTTTGTCTCGTGTGCGCTCGTTCGTTCGTTCGTTTCGTTCGTACGGTTCGTCCGTTCTCAATCTTTCACGGGGGAATGCTTTTTCATCGACTATCCACGGCCTCTCTCCTCCCCCTCGCCCCATCGGCTATTGATTCCCGTCGTCGTTAGAAGCTACCGGCTGTTCGTCTGTTTAATTCATAGATTCTTCGATTTCCTGCAGGTACGCGTGGGATGTTCATCGTTATGATTGCAGCCGGTTTTACAAGGATTCCGGTACCATCTTTTGAGGGAAATTGGTGGAGCTTTTCTGGGGGTGAATGGGAAGCCACAATACTCGCTCACGGAAGTGTTATTCCTTTTTTTTGTCTGACTGGGGGAGGAAAAGAAAGGGTGGGAGGACGTTCTATGGCAATCGATTGCGGATTTTTCATCGGAACACCCTTATTTTATAAATACGATTCATTCCTTTTACTCGTCGTGAATGATATCGAATCTTTCGAAATTCAATGGTTCTATTAATAACCCTTTCATAAACAACAATGAAAGTGTTCGATCAAAAGAGGATTTTAATTTTGAAATTTCGTGATTCAACCTACGGCACAATCGCCGCTTGAAAAACCGATAGATCACGGTTGCAGAGGAGAGTTCTCTTCTCTCGCGTCATCTGTCGATCTTCCCACGGACGGGCACAGTATCCAGGCATTAATTAACCGATCAACGTGCAAAGCGACTCACGAATGAAAAGCCCGTCAGGAACGGGGGGATCTAATTGATCCTGATGTTCATAATTGAAAGAGTTCACGGAAGGTGCTGAAGAGGGTTGAGGAGAAGCTCTTGAAGGTGGGATCCGGCTTGCAACGTTGCTGTTCCGGCGTGAAATCTTTTCCCGTAACTTCGTCCATTAACAACCAGATGGGAATCGATGGAACGCGTTTGATGCAAGAGGATGGGGGGTGGAAAGACCAGATTAGCGTGACACGGGCGAAATCTGCGATTGATTTTCGTCGGGCGTGCGTGCACGATGCGTGTGTACAGCGACTCGATATAATACTGTATCGTGTTGATTTTATCACTGCGACCTGACACGATTAAATCGAGTGCCGTGAAACGAGACCAGCACGAAGGAACGCGATCATCGTGAACCTCGCTTTGGAATACAGATTCTGCTCGTTCCTTTCCCCCTCCCACCACGGTTCGCTTGTCGTTCAACTCTGGAAACTATCGGATTCCAGCGAGAACGAAAAACTTGCGCGTGGAACGTCGGGTAAGCCTCGAGTACGTACAATCACTCGGACTATAATGGATTAAACGAAAATTCCTTCGAAGGAGACAGATCAGCCGACGGTGGAACGGTAATTTCTTGCGTTTTATCGAGGTACAGGTGACTTCTGTGCAATACGAATGGTTAAATTAATTATTTGATATGGTGGACAGTAATTACTCTAGAATTTAATTTCAACATTTTTAAATCGTTCTCAGATATCGTATATTTCAGGAAATATTTTATTTTTACCGTTGATAGCTATGGAAATCGTAATTGAGTATCCTTTTGTATTCTTGATTCTGTAGAAGATCGTTTCGGACAATGTAAAACTGTATTAGAACCTGAATTACCACGATTACTACCTGTAATTCAATATTAGTGTAAAATGTACGGTCAACGACTGAAAGTTTGGGAAGCAGTGGTAGATTTCGGGTAATTCGTATAATAAAACGTCCCGGATGATAAAACACCAGGTTCCCTCTACATTTCCCTCATTGAATATTCTTCTTCTCTTAGTGTGTATATACCTGTACACGTTGCTCAACAGGTAGTTCCTTGCCTTTTGCTACAATGTACACTTTTTACAATCACCTAACTCCCTGTTGCATCTACGATGTCTCTATACAGTGTCTAACTTAAAAGTGCTCCACCCCTTCGTCTAGAACAATGTTTCCTCACCTTTTATAGATCACGTCCCACCTTAACGCCTCGAAGATCTCGATGCCTCTCTAGCATAATAGTAAACCAAGTTCTGAAAAACTTTAAAATTATTATCTACTACAAACAAAAAAGCCACATAGGTAAAACTGATGCCAATTAGTTGAAGAATATGAATGAATTGCTAATTGTCCCCTAAAATATTCAAATTGCTTTTCTTGATGGGACGTACGCCCCACGTTGGGAAACACTGACCTAGAGTCTAACGAAAATCAAATGTTCGAATGTAAACAGAAACCATTTACCAATTTAAACAAACAAAAAACATCTCCAAACTTTACCATCGATATTGCACACTTTGATCGAACCTCGAAGAGACATTTCCTCCTCGAACCGTACGAAAGTCTCTCCAATTAACGGTCCCTCGTTAAAATTCAAGACACACAGACGGGACCGAGGTTCGATAATTTCCGTTTATCCGGGAATTACGTTGCTAATTAATCGCTCGTCATTTACGTAATCCGGTGGTAGACGAAGATTACGAAACGAACGGGGGCAGAGTCTGGGGCCTCGAATCGGACACGATCAGCCGTTATGCGACGTTCCTAATATTTCTTGGCAACGATAGAGCTTATCGTGCCGTTCGGTACGGTGCTCGAATCCGATAAAGGGAAGGGGTCAAGTCACAGGGGTGGGAATAAAAAAATTTGCTTGCCAAGACGCTGTTTCCTTTGCTGTCCAAAATGTGCAGCGATCTGCAGAAGTCCCGGCCGGCCGCCGGACACGGCGTGTCTATGGCCCATTCGTTGCACATCTGCGAACAGAAAGAAAAATAAGTGGCTTGGCCGGAAATTTAAGTGGACAACGTGTGATGTCCAGTTCGACGTTCTTTTCGAATTTGTGTGAGTCGTCTATACATATACGTGGCGGTCCCAGGTGAGGGAATTGATCAAAGACGGATAGAAAGAAAAGGGAAAAAGGATAGAGAGGGAACAAAAAGTTCGATACGAAACACGGTCCGTTAAAGAGGGAGAAAAACTTTTCTTGACTTGATCAAGGGAACACGAGATCCATCGGAGTTCTCGAAAATCCGTATATAACTGAAAAGCTCGTTTCTTCCAGCCGAACGCTCGCGACAACTGTATCGCCGTAACAAACTTCCGAGGCTGCGCGCTGGGTATCGAACTTCGAGGAAACGAAAGAAAAAAAGAAGGGTAGAAAGCTGCTGGCCAAACCGTGGACCAGATATAAATTTCCCGAAGAATAAAAGATACCTCGATCAAATCGGACTGTTCTTGTTTCTCCAGTTCCTAGTTCGATGGTGGAACAAGCGACTGGACGGATATTGGTAGCGATGGGACTAATCCAATGACACGTTCATTAATTCTGATACGTATCAATTTCCGAGCTACGTGTTACGGTGCTAAACAGATATACACACGATAATATTCGTGTTCTTTATTACGGTGCATTGTCCCAAAAACCATAGAGATATGAATAGGGGTGTATTACTTCTAATAGATGCATATCAGTATTGGAGCCAATTAAATAAATTAATTCTCAAGGCTAAATTTACTTAATTTTGCTTTACAATTTTTTTGACGACTTCAGTCTCCAGAATTATGTTAATAATTTCCTGGGAACAAAAGGAATTCTATACTTATGGAAAGTGTGCATTTACTCTAAAATATAAATGTTATTACCAACAAAATAGTATTTCACGTCGACCAAAAGAAAACGAATAATATTCAGGCTCGTTAAATCCTTGACTAAACATTACAAAGCAAAGAGTTAATAAACTCTTGAGCCACGCTCTCCATCGTGCAGTGATAGACTAAAATGATAGACCAGTCGACGAAAAAAAACTAGGGCATTTATTCCACAGAGTAACACTCAACACAGTTTCCCTCCTCGAAACGTTGTCGGTATCGATCATTCAAAAGTAACAGTCAAGGCAACACTCCCCTCTTCATCCGTAGAATTCCAATCTCTTTTATTACCTATCTCGGCCTCCTCGAGCCTCGAAACAGTGAAGCACGGGTGCGCATACCGGTACGAGGTGGCCGTGATTGAAAGTATCAAAACAGCCGTCAGTCCCATCGCTAGAAATTGGTAATTCCCCGGAGGCGATCGAGCGTAGGCGAGGCGGCGAAGAACGTTTGGGGATGGGAAAGAGAAACGATTGGGCGTCAGGCACGCGGAAGCGGAGAGTTTGTGAAAATAAGGGAAGATCGATGGCACGGGGGTGGAGAGGAACAGTGGGGAGGATGGGGAACGATCCTTGGGGCTAAACGAAATTGCGGGCTGGACCGGGCACGATACAGGCATTACAGATTCCTAAGGAGATCGTTTAATGGACTCGTCGATACCTGGTTATCGCTGACGTTGACGCAAGTGTAGCACGTTAGACCTGCAACACAACACAGAAGAGAGGGGTGGGTGACGTTGGAGTGAGTAATAGAGTTGCGGAGACGGCCAGGACTGCCGTGTCGATTCAAGTGGGAGACAAAGGGCGGCCAGGCAGACAGAGAAGCAACAATTAAACACGCTTAGGCGTTCGTTCGATAGAATTCCACGTACTTAACGCTCGCGAGCACGGAGTAGAATGGATTGTCCCGTCGAATTGGAACTCACAGGGTACAGTCCCGTGGAATCGCAGGGGGTGCGACAAAGCGTTCTCTCCTTCGAAACGCATCGTTAACCAGCGCACGGCAGGCCGCCGAGGCAAATTGTGTATTCTCCACCGTTGCTGTCGTAATTAATACTTTCGACGACAGTGAAATTCAAGTAGTTCCTAGCTGGCCGATTTTCCACCAACCACTTACCTGGTCCCGTCACTGGTTCGTTTTCCCTCGTTAAGAACGCTCCACCTCGATCTCGGCCGAATAAACGGAATAGACGTTTTCAAGGCTCTATTAGGTTGGCGTACGCGGAACTACGTATTTTATTTGCAATCGTGCCTCTCAAAGACCCGCCTTTGATACGTTACACGCCTCGTTGGAACACTGGCTGACTTTTTCACGTGAAGGAGATTCGTTATTTTAGATTGGCAAGAATCAAAGTGGTACACTGAGAAACCGGGCGCCTTTATGAAATGCTGCTTTTTTGATCGAATACTGGCTTTTCAAGAAACACTCATCGATGATTTACTGTACACTTTTAATATGAATCAGGACTCTGCAGATTTGAAATACTAAGAAAACGAAATTCCATACGCATGAAATTAATACCCGTTTGAAATACAAGACTCGAATCAATATACTGAATAATTTAGTACCATTTAATACACCTTCAGCACGAATCAGAAGGACTCTGCCCAGCTGAGATACTAGAAAACCGAAATTCCATAGAAGCAAATAAATATCCGTAAGGAGCACAAGAACCAGTGATTTCACTTCAACCGTTACAAAGCGCAGGATATTACATAGATCCTTTTTCGTAACAGTTCGACCATATATCCCCATAGATCTCACGTTCACGCGGTCAGCCTGACGACGCGAGTCCAACGTTCGTTTCGCGCACGACTTCGACTGCTTACGGGTCAGTCGACACTTTAAGAAGCTTTTCGGTGGCGGTCGGCGCTAGCGATATTTCAAGACAATATGTTACAGACCTAGGTTGGGTGGGTGGGTGTCTGTGTATGGATCAAGGGAATGATTTGTGGCCCGGTCGTTCGAGCGGTAAAAGTTGAAGTGGCCCGGGATGGGGGTAGGCGAGAGATCTGTAAGCTGTGGGCGGCCAAAAGAGGCAGGGGTAGGATTAGTGGAGCTCAATTGCAGGATTCGAGAGGGCCCTGGATAAGCTACTCGAGTTACTCGGAGCTAAATCATAGATCCTGTTTGCCTCCCTTTGCCGCCCCCGAATTCTCGGCCACTTTCTTCTCTTCTCCTTTCGTTCTTCATCTCTCAAGGGAGGGAAAAGAGATTTCACGATGACGTTTAACGTCACCGATACCCACGGTAGACCTCCTCCTCGTCGGTGGCAGCGGTGACTCCTTTCAGACCGTCCTTCTGGTCCGTCTCCTCCTTCCCGTTACCGTTCCCGGATAGAACGTTTCTGCCACAAGTTTCCGCAGCCAGGAGCAGCCCGACCATCACCCACGTGATCATTCCTCACATCTCTGGAATGACAGAAATGGGGCTGCGTGTTACGTAATTGACCGCCAAACGTATCTGACGCGGTCGACCCCTGAGAATCGACCGGTTCGAGCTACGCGCGAGATAACACCGTCACGGACCCAATTCCTGAGCAGTTTAGTGGATAGACACCGCATAAGATGTTTCTTATAATTAAGGTTTTTTTCCAGAAAGGTACTAAATAATTAGTAACTATTTTGAAATTCATACGTAAAAGTTGATAGCTCGGAGTGAGGTACAGATATATGCTTTAAGTGATCAGTAGACTGCGGATTTTATGCAATTATAGGCTCGAGAGCTTTGTCAAATACAATAAAATACAATAGTTTAATCAGATGCAACAAGTTTTCTATTTTATTCTTGACCGAATAAGGTACTTCAGGTAAGAAAGAAGTTCCCACTTTTGTCCTCGTTTTTGTAAGTATCGTCATAAAATGTCATTTTGCATAAAAATCCGCAGTCTAGTGACCAGTTAATTTTCTATTTTTATGTTAAAAAACCCTCCATAGTTACTTTTAATTGAACGGGAACTGGGTCCGTAACAGTATGTCAATACAATGTAAACCATCCAATTAAGCAAACAGTCGCCATAAAGCTCACGGTAATTCTCGAATCGTCGATTTTCAGAGGTATTGTAGTTCGTGTCGATATTGGTCCGACCAGTGATACAAAAACAAACAAAAATGAAATCGTACATTGGAGAATTATCGCTGTGGACACTGTATATTATTAATTATCATGCTTGGATGCATTACCTATCGCTGCATCGATGGGTTCTGGTCCCATGCAAGTTGGTTCGATTAAAAAAATTGGTCGAAGGATCGCCGATGAAACAATCAAAAAATGATTCTCGACCTGTAGATGTATGCACTTACTTTCGACCAAGGGATATCGAGGGAAAGTTTCAATTCGCATCGTTAGATCGGAGGATTTATCGTCTTATAGGGAATGAAAATTACTTACGAGAGCAGCCGATTTGAAAGGGAACGTCTTTCAACGGGGAAGCCCGGCGTGGTCGACGGATACGGGAGAATTCAAATCCGGATCAGGAATTACAAAAGGGGGACGTCTAGTTTAAATCCTCATAGAACACGGGAACCGGATGGTTCGGTCCCTGGATAGCTACCTTCGACTCTTGTTGGCTAGAGATAATGCAGTTTGAGCGGAAACTTTGTAGCCGGCGATGGGATCGAGCTCGTTGCCAAGAATATCGAAAGACGATCGTAATGGTGTTTTAAAGGAAAACCACTACTTTAATACGTTTGACTAACATGGTTGTCATCGGATGACTGGTGTCACTAAATTAGACGACGAAATATTGAATTTCTAACCAGGCACATGTAACATTTTCTGAATATAATTAGCAGTATAATAAATATATTCAAGGCAACGCGTATACACTTACATTACCGTAAGTATTACATCTGGTCTGTATGAAGGAAATGTTATGTTTCGTAAAAATAATATATTTTAGGCCACTTTTAGTACTTTATAGAAGCAAAAGCGCTTTCCATCGAGTTTTGATACCCCCTACATTTAATTCAGACATTCAGTTATTTCGTAATGTCTTGCAACATTTTGCTGCTTATTCGATAAATGTCCTAATATTTATACGCGGGAATGAATATTGATCATAACGCGTTAATATTACTGGAATATACAATAATATAGTGGGCTTTAATTGAACAAATAGCTGGTTGAAATGTTCAATTAGCGTATCGATATCAAGTGTTGTAAAAGTGCTCGAAACTATTTGTTTTTATTTTGTTGAGTATTAAATCGAACAGATCGAGTTTTACGCGTCAAATCAACTGATATACGGGAGTACATATTGGACTTGGCCCGTTTCTTCGTCGGTCGATCCCCTTTAATGTTCTATCACGGGAGGCCCTGGAGGATCAGGATGCTCGAAAAAAGAAAATTGGATTCGGGATCCGTGAAAACATAGAAATGTGTCGAATCTCTTCTCTTCGAGGTTCAGTAGCGTTCTATAGTTCGCTATCAGAATATTGGCCGGTGTACACTAGCAAAACAAATACGCTGCCGTTGGGAAGTTTATTCGATCTTTAGATAAAAAGATTTTCTGTGTACACGTATCTCTTCTATTAAAAATATTACATACGCCTCTTTAATTAAAAATATTAAACTTATAAAAATGTTGAAAATGTTACTACAACGCATTTTCCCTGATCCGTCACAACTTTTATTGCAGTACAATAATGAAGAAACTAGCTAAATTAATAAATTTGAATACTTTCAAAAGGTTGTTTTACTCATTGATCGGATAAAAATAAATATACTCACCAGTTAGTTCTAGTATGAAAGGAGAATTGCTCGAGTATCATAAATATTCCCCAAGGAAGGTAACCATTTTAAAGCCCGAAGGAGCGTCCCCAAACCAATAAACCACAGTGTACTATGATATTCACCGCAGATGGGTTTTCGCAGAATTTTCGGATACGAGCCGTGTAACCGCCAGAAGATCAGATTAGAGGGAAAACTCGGGGGGGTGGCAGGGGGAGGCAATCATTATTTCTCGCGCGTAGCTCCTCGTTACTGATTACCGTTCGGATCTCTCTCCCTCGTTACGGTTAACGATCGCTTGGCAACGGTCGATCGGAAAAACGGTGGCCGAAATCAGATCAGTAGGGGAGGGTGCGGGATGGGAGGTTCACCCCCGCGGACGAGCAATCGTAGACGGGATTGGTGAGTTCGAGCGTGGCGCGGAATAATCCGATCGATTAAAATCGTGCCGCGCGATATGGTCGGTGGAGAATCTCGCGGCGTACACGAGCGCTCCACTTAATCAATGGTATAACGGACCGATGGATACGTCGTTACGAACGGTTGCGCGCACTCTCCGTCTCTCTCCTCCCCGGTACTTCCCCTGTTCTTTGATACGAACCGTCAATCACCAGATTTGATAAGGCTGATCCTTTCAATACACTTCTGTTAACGATTGTCTGGCGCAGCCTCACGGAACGTTACCTACCTATCCCACGGACAGCGACGCCAGGATTATATTCGTCGCGGATCGATACTCCGAATTTCCAGGTGAATACTGCCTGGAGGGGGGTTAGATCACGGTCGGAGGAACACGATTACCTCGAGCGTAGTAAAGCGCGTGTACGACCGCCAAGAAATTCACCAGTCCACCCCGCTCCACCCCTCCGAATTGTCTCCCCTTCACCCTTTATCGTCCCACGATCGGTGGCTCGAACACGAGCTAACTTTAATCTCTTTTGGGGATGACGAATGGTAATGGCCATTACCCGAAAGTATCCTCGTATTTCTTAGATCCCACCGAATCCCGTACAGCATTCTATTCTACCGTTCTGTTCTGATCATTGATCGCCGCGATGGTAACGGTTGTTGTGGCTTGCAAAGTGTCGATAGTCGACTATGGATCGATCCTTTATCGCGGGGCCACGGAGTCGCTTTTACGTTCCATTCAATCGTGTCGCGATACAGAAGTTTTGTCACGGAGTTATATAGATACTCAGCGATGTTGTGAAAAGAGTTCGGCTGTCTGCGAGCAGGAAAATAGTTGTCGCACGTCAAGGGAGCAGGAAGTTTTTCACGTTTCTTGACTGCCTGTCTGAAGCATTCTGGTAATTGACTCTTACAGAATACCTGCGGTAGACCCACTTAGATTGTATTTATTATTAACTGTGTCCATGTAGGGGTACGTGGTCACAGAATCGCTGAGTTAATTGAGTAAAGTAGTTCCATTAGGCGTGGCTCGGGTAACCCTTTCGTTCCCATTGTTGCCATATGGCGACGTACTCTAGATTACGAAATAAAATGTTGATATCATGTATTTTTTCATATCTGTCTCGTTCACTTAATGGAACTCAAGTATTGAGTATTAGATGGTTTCAAAACGTTAAAATGTTCTCGTGAATCATTTATGTCATGTAATATACACAAAAATACAACAAAATATTCCTTCGTTACTTTTTAAATACCTTGAGAAATAAAGGGTTAATGAATTGAAAATTCTCCAAACCGTCCTGAAAATCATTTCATCGGTACAAGTGGATTGAGTGTACCATTGATCAGACACGACCACCAGCTACCTCCAGATCAACCATTTACGCGAGGACCAAGCTTCTCCTTGACCGTAGAACGTTGTGAATTGAAGTCCAACAGCAACCACGGTGCGCCGTTCACGCACGACCAGTCTTGCAACGCCGTCGGTTTTAACAAGCCAGTGGCCGGAGAGCCAATTAATTGGATAACCAAACGAACATCCGTAGACTGCGACGACGACGACAACGTAGCCCCGGTCGAGTTTCGTCGCATCCCAGCGAGCGGAGGATTAATCCCCCCCGTCGGTTTAAATCCTGGTCGAACATGTCGTCCACGTGAATCGGTCGCGGGTAAACTGATCCACTCGACCGTTGGACATGTCAACCGATGGATATCCCCCAGTTCGAAGCCAGCGATGTGTGCCTTCATTCCTCGGGCGTAGATCAAGGTTCAATACTACGGGTCGGTTGACCTATCACTGCCAGACCCGTGTCTCCTATCGGGGCTTTCGACGAATCGCAAACGTCCAGGCACCCCCTTTCGCAGATAAGGTCTAAGAGCCAAGTCCCCCTAGAGGCAGGCAAGTACGGACCGTTTGATTTTGTCGCGATCCACGTGAAAAGTCGTCGTTTCGCAACACACCTGGCTCTTCTCCTCAACGAAACGATTAAACGACTGATCCCCTAACACAGAGATTCAAGGCCATTGCGTTCTAGGGTCACCTGATCATTATTATCATGGTTCGTCATGATTGCATGCTATTATATCCGTCAACGGAGGTAGCCGACAGTTCCCTGGAAACGTAAACTTTGAAGATTGCGACTGTAATAAAAGTTGGACAACTCCGTGGATTAGGATCGTTCACGTTTTATGACAGTTCGGATCGGGGAGACACACCGGGTGTTTAATAGTTTATCGCTGGTCGACGAAGTTTACGGAATAACGTGGGGAA